AAAAGGTAAAATGGCTTCCTTTCTCTTATGTTCTACCAGCAATAACATTAGGCACAAACAAAGTAAAAATCTACATTATATTTACATTTAAAACAAACCTAGAAAAGCCATGATTCTGAACTAAATATTCTACCTAAAGAATCTCTTCCACATACTCTTTCCTGGTCACTCACTCGATGCCCTTTGTTTCTTAATTCCTGTGATTCTTTTTACCCCTCTTTGTTATACAAGGCTTTGCCTAAACTTGTATGCCCCTTACTATAATGTAACCTCTCCCAGGGAACATGTCTTATTCACCTTGTGTCTTTCTCAGCCCTCAGCACTGGGCTTTGACCATAGTTGACCAGCAATAAAAAATTTAAGTCAAAACAGGTTTCTGCTTCAGGTGAAAACATGACTTTAAGCTCAAGCAACTGCTATCTATAATTATAACTCATAATTCTAGATAAGGTGGAACACACAGGACTGGGGACCACCAACAGCTCTGCTAACTACAGCTGAAATTTTGAATAAATCGAGAACCACCAACGCCATAAATTTTTAGGATCAGGAACTTTGTGCCACGCTTTCCCTGACACCCAGCATTTGATAATCATTTACTGCCTTAGGCACCATGCACCTGTATGCAAAACCCTCAATCATGATGATATAGAGATCAGCTTTAAATGAACGGTAACATTATAGGCTATCATATCCTCACAGAAGTCCTTCTATTCTAGGTAAGAGAGGGATCTACAAAGGCTTATCACAGAAACTGGTCATTTCAAGCTTGGCTAATAGGGGTTCTTTATATGAGCTTTTTAGGTAAAGAGCAGGAATAGAAATTCTGGTAGTCCTTATCAGTAATGATCAGCAATGTTCCATCCACGCAGCTCCTACTGCCCCTTATAAACAGTAAGGTGGTAACAGAATTTTCCAAAATCAGGTCCAAGGGGGTGGGGGGAACTTAGCTCAGGGTGAGTACAACAGTAAAAAATGGGTTTGGTTGTAATTATTTAGGTCAGAAACAGGGTCAAGGTTGCCTCTTTGAGAGACAAGAATTAGATATACGGTAAATAAATAAATTGGCCCCGCTCTATAGCACTATCCAATAGAACTTTCTGTGGTGAACATTTCTATTATCTGTGCTGCCCCAGTACTGCAGCCACAAACCACATTGTGACTGCTGAACACTTGAAATGTGGCTAAATGTGACTGAGGAACTAAATTTTAAATTTATTTAATTTTAATTAATTACATTTAAATTTAAATAGCCAAATGTGGCTGGTGGGGTTTCCATGGTGGCGCAGTGGTTTAGAATCCGCCTGCCAATGCAGGGGACACGGGTTCGAGCCCTGGTCCAGGAAGATCTCACATGCCGCAGAGCAACTAAGCCCGTGCGCCACAACTACTAAGCCCACACACCACAACTACTGAAGCCTGCGCACCTAGAGCCTGTGCTCTGCAACAAGAGAAGCCACTGCAGTGAGAAGCCCGCGCACCGCAACGAAGAGTAGCCCCACTGGCCGCAGCTAGAGAAAGACTGCACGCAGCAACAAAGACCCAACGCCGCCAAAAATAATAAGTTAATTAAAAAAAAATGTGGCTGGTGGACAGTGCGGCTCTAGATTCTCTAAGTCAGTGGTTCTCAACCAGAGGGGATCCTTTCACCCCCAGGGGACAACTGCCTCAACTGGAGATGTTTTTGGTTGTCACACTGTGGGGAGGAGATGCTACTGGCATCTAGTGGGTGGAGGCCAGGGATGCTGCTAAACATTCTAGAGTACACAGGACAGCCTCCTACAATAGAGAATTATCCAGCCCAATGTCAGTGGTGCCAAGGTTGAGACATCTGCTCTAAGTTTACTCAAGGTTGGAATTAAAAGTGCAAAACAGGGCTTCCCTGGTGGCGCAGTGGTTGAGCGTCTGCCTGCCGATGCAAGGGACACGGGTTCGTGCCCCGGTCCGGGAGGATCCCACATGCCGCGGAGCGGCTAGGCCTGTGAGCCATGGCTGCTGAGCCTGCGCGTCCGGAGCCTGTGCTCCGCAACAGGAGACGCCACAGCAGTGAGAGGCCCGCGTACCGAAGAAAAAAAAAAAAAAAAAAAGTGCAAAACAAACTGCTATACACCTTGTCTAAACATAATACCCAGGAAGAATGAGATTTTTCCAAGCAGCAGGAAAAGATCTGGGCTGTTCTACAAGTATAAAGTAGCAGGTTTTTACTAACAGGTGTTATGTAGGTGTGTTGAGTACCTTATTAAAATCTTCAGCATCAGCGTTATTACTTCCTGTGGCATTTTTAAACTTGGATATTAACATAAGTAAACACTGTGAGATTTGTTCCTTATGAGTTGGACGTACATACAGTATTGGGGGGGCTGAGGCGCCAACTCTTCTAGTTTGAATTCCTTGTCCCTATAATTAACCTATCTATAGTTTCTCTGGATGTCACTAATTTTGAATACAAAAAGAAAACATATATTGTGAAAGAAAAGCAAATCAAGGCAAGAAAATGGCTCTGTCATCGCAGGTCTGCATGTCTACATATTAAAGAAAAAGCAAGGGTACAAAATTATATTTGGACCAAAGGAAATGTACTCAGTGATTCTATTAAACAATGATAGCACACTACATTATAGAGTGAGAGAGATTACTTGAAATTTTAGAGGATGGGTATCAAATAACATTGTAGTTTCTGTAGCCAGTCTAAATTATGCAAGGATTAGTGTAAATGGCATCATTCAGAACTGCTCAAATAGTTCTTAAATTTATACTAGCAATGTAGAATTTAACCCAGCAGTCTATTCCTCAAAGAAACCAGAATAATGGACACAATTCAATGTTTTACTTTGATTCAAACTGTTTTTCACAACACAAAATTTTCAACATTCATATTACAGCAATGCTTTTTCTTTTCTGCCCACTTAGCACCAAGAGAAATTGTTCATTACAAGTAAAGCCCTGTCTTGCTTCAGGGAATATAAAAATAAGACACAATACTAGTTCTGAAAAACTTACATTCAGAATTTACACACTGGCCTAAGGCAGAGACTTCCAGCCCACACATTCTGAATTCCTGAAAGATCCCTGCAATTTTTGTGAATGTGCCAGGCTTAAGCATGCTGGAGTTTCAGTACCTCTTCAGATCTTCATTTGAAGAGTTTAAGATCTTTTATCATCAATTAACATTTAGGGAGCAACCACTGTAATCTAGTAATCAAATACCAGAAAAGTAATATTTGAAGCAGGATTCCAACCCATTCTGTTTTGCAGATCTGCCTATAACGAACTATTCTTGGAGGAAAGAACACTCCAGTTCTTTAGATTTCTAACTGAAATGCCACAAAGCCCCTCCCATCTTCTTTATAAAATTGTAAAGGAAACAACACTGAAGGGACATTTTTAGCATCATTTTGTATTCAACCACTGGCGTTTGTATTCAACTACTGGTCCACACACGGTGTAGACCAGGGGTTCTCAGCCTCAGCACTACTGATAATTCTCTGGTACAGGGTCTGTCTTGTGCAATGTCGGATGTTAGCAGCATCCCTGGCCTCTACCCACTAGGTACCAGCAGCCCCTTCCTAACGCCTGATTGTGACAATCAAAAGTGTATCCAAACGTTGGCCAAATATCCCCTGGGGAACAAAACAGCCTGGTGGTTGAGAATCACTGATTTAGACTGAAACTCAAAGTACCACAAGGTAGACACTGTGCTCATCAAAAGCCTGGGAAGACTTTATTCCTAGACAGAAAAACATGTAACATTCACCACAGAGGCGGTGTAAGAAAAACATATTATCTTTGTCCTTTCTTGATTCCTTCCACCCAATATATGAGAAACAACGGAGGCGTAGGCTATACCACTGTGTGCACATGAAGACATCTGGCTCAACTTGTACAATTACTCCCTTCAACTCTCCAGTGACAAGTGAACAAATCCACGGCAGCTGCTGCATTGAAAAAATGACAAAATATGTTACTTCTGCCAGTTCAAAATTAAAATGAAGCAGTCTTGAAACACTAGCATTGCTCCTGAATTCCACATATATGAAAAACCGGGTCTGGACAAGCGGACTCCCAAGCTTGAAAAGAAAGAAGGACTTTGAGGGAGGGCAGAAAGTCAGGGTCTGAAAGTAGGTATCCGTGAAGAAATCCAAGCACTGGTTCTCATTTACCAGCCCTAAATCCGGGACAATTAGAATCCATTTCACATGCCAGAGCGGTCAGCCAGGTACATCACGCTGCTGTTTCCCCAAGAGGAAGCCAGAGTAAAACCCTGCTACCAGTGGATTTCCGACTGACCTCAGGGTCCCCCCCTCGCCACGGAAAGGGGGAGCCAGAAAGTTGTGGAGCAGCAGCAGTCCCAAAGATGAAATTCACAATCTACAGAAGCCCCGCCCCTTTCTGGACCTCAGGGGTCTTTCAAACTACTGCATCAGAATCACGTGAGGACCTCGTTAAACCCACAGATACCGGTCCCGTCCCCCAAGGTTCCGACCCGAGGGCTGAAAATCTGGATTTTTACCAAGGGCCCCAGGTGATTCCTAGGCTCGCTGAAGATGGCAAATTACTGCTTGCACATCTCCCTTCCTAACTTGGAGCCCACAGACAACCTACAGGTTTCCAATTGGCTCCGAAACAACTGGGGCTTCATTCCAGGCGCTTCTGCGGCCGCAAGTTGTTAGCTCTGTCATCCGAGAGGGTGAGCCGAGCTCTCGCAGGCCCCAAGGTCGGCCCCGCGGCCCCCGACTGGGCTCCGGGTCGTTCGCGGCCCCGGGCAGAACCCGGCCCAGCCTCTCCCGGCCCCCGGGGACCCCAGAGACCCCCGGCCCCGTGACGTGACCAGGCCCCAGCCTCGAGCGACGGGCCGGACGCCCTCGCGGCCAGGCCTCCTCAGGCGACCCAGTTAGCCCCCGGCCCCCTCCCCGGTCACAATGGCAGCTCGCGACCGGGAAACAGGCGCCCCGCAGGCGGGGGCCTCGGGCCGCCGCTCCGCATCCACCCCCGGTACGGACCTTCTCCAGGGGCGCGTCCATGTCTAATGCGGCCGGTGGAGCCCGACAGAGGCCCGGCGATCCCGGGCACTACTTCCGCCTCCCGAGCCCCGCCGCCGTTTCCACGCTGGCAGCGCTGACGTCCCGCTTGCCCGCGGCCGGCGGGGCGGAGAAAAGAAGGAACTTCCTGGCTGCGCAGCCGGGAGTGGAAAGCAGGGCTCGGGAAGGCGGGGGAGGCGGGGCCCACGGGGAGGCGGGGCCCACGGGGTGGGCGGGGCCCTAGGTGGGCGGGGCCCTCCAGGCTTCCGTACAAGGCCGTCACGCCGGCCAGCCCAAATGTTTCCAGGTGAGAGGGGGAGAATGGATGGCGGAGCCGTTCCAAACTCTCTTCAGAAGCCTGTCCGGTGTCAGAGTAGAAGTATAATAATTACAAGGGGTCACTCATGTAGCAAAATGCTGGAAATACTGGTAACGCACCTCTACTTCCGGGCCTAGTGTTCCAAGTTCTCCCCGCTATCGACATTCCTCAGGAATGGAACAGGCCATTCACCACGGAGAGGCGGGGCGAGCGAGCGCCCCCGCGCACGCGCAGCTTCGGTGGTTTCCTAGGTGCTCAGGGCTTCGCGGGTTTCAGCTATTGGACTCCTGACCAGTGACCGCTACTCTGAAAAGGCGCTGATCAGAGCTGAGGTATTTGTTTCAGACCTTACCGCAGAATTCTAGACGGAAACGACTTTGAGACAACTGGCTCAGCCACTTTCTTCGTGTCAGGCCACAATTATGACTTGTTAGGTAATAATGATAATAATAGATCAGTTGCTGCTATTCCATTTTATGGTACAACAGCCTTGTGATGTAGAGATCATTATTATCTCCATTTCACAGTGCCAATCTAGGTTGGATCCAAGCACCCTGACCCCAGCGTCTGTACATTATACATACTGCCTCTATAACCGCTTCCACCCCTCCTGTATAATCATAAGGTGTTTCCAGGGAATAAGAGAAGACATAAATTTCCTTATTCTTCCCTCTAAATGAGGAAAACTGAAATGAACTAGCCTATCACGGTTACAGTCCGTAAAACAATTCACCACTAGTACACCGATGACGTTACAACCGCAAAACCATACCTTTTCTCTCCTGTTCTGGGCGCCTCTCTTCCGAAATCTGTGTAAATGACTGGGTTGCATTTTCAGTGTAGTAATTATATTTTTTGAGCTCTCTAAATTGTATTAGATAAATTGCCCAGTTATGTTAATAAAATTATTTTCTACCAAAAGAAGCTTTGTGTACAGTGGGAACTATTCAGATTCTCCACAGAGCTCTGCAAACAGAAAAGGATGATAGATTTATGTCTTCCAAGATCTAAAAGTGGAATGTACCTCTTCGAGCTAAACAAGTCACCTTTTCCAACGTGTTGTTATCAAGCATTTAGAAAAGTTGTTATACCATGAACACCCATATGCCTATCCTACAATGAACATCTACCTGTATTTGCTTTACAAATATGATATTTACATAAGTATCCATCTATCTATCCATCAATACGTCTTATGTTTTGATACATTCCAAAATTGCAGACATCAATACGTTTCACCCCTTAACACCTCAGCCTGGGTATCATTAAAAACTCCTAATTTTTAAAACCACCTCCAAGTATCTGGATTATATTAAAAAGTAGATTCTACAAGACAAATACTAGAGAGATGAAACTTACATTTTCTATTTTAAAAGTAGACTTTAAAAGCCAACATGAAGAAAGTGGGAATAATTGGTTCATTCAATATTTATCCAAATGTTTATCGACTGCCATCTTGGACAGTTAGGGGCTAGAAATATAAGATCCTGCCCTTAAGAAAATGCTGTTTAGGGCAGAGGTTTTTACTTTGGACCCAGGGGGAGGTCTGTGAAACTCTTGAAACTATGCTCTAAATTTTGCATGAGTGCATTTTTCTGGGGTGCATTGCATAGCTTTCAAGATCAAGTTGGACACACACACACACACACACACACACACTCACTCCTGTCAAAAGAAATTAAAACCACTTGGCTTGTAGACAGACAGATATGTAAGCTGGTAAATTATAATGCGGCATTCTATGGGCTAGAACAGAGAGATGAGAAAAATATTGTTGGAAGCCAGAAGATGAAACCACTCCTTGTGGGAACAATTTGGCTTATATGTTCTGATATAGACCTTTCCTGATTAATAGGCAAAAAGCAAACCAAATAAAGGAAGTTTGTGGTTATTTTTCCTTTTGGGTCCATTCACATGATTTTTGTTGTATCCTGAATAATATTTACATACCCATATTGTAGATGTTGTTTTTAAGTCTTTAAGCTTTAGAATCAACCAAATTACACATGCGGAAGATATAGTTATTATTCACCATGGTAATGTAAAAATAATAAATTACCAAAAAGTGGGCAGGAAGAGGCGAGGTGAAGAGGAACTTAAGGGGAATCACTAATGTCCTCAACTTCATTCCAGGAAGTAAGTAGATACTCTCTAAAAGGGCTAAATCAAGGACTTCCCTGGTGGCGCAGTGGTTAAGAATCCACCTGCCAATGCAGGGGACACGGGTTCGAGCCCTGGTCCGGGAAGATCCCACATGCTGCAGAGCAACTAAGCCCATGCACCACAACTACTGAGCCCACATACCACAACTACTGAAGCCCGTGTACCTAGAGCCCGTGCTCCGCAACAAGAGAAGCTACCACAATGAGAAGCCCAAGCACCACAAGGAAGAGTAGCCCCGACTCACCGCAGCTAGAGAAAGCCTGCGCGCAGGGATGAAGACCCAACGCGGGCATAAATAAACAAACAAAAGCATTTAAAACAGTGAATAAAAGAGCTAAATCAAGATTCAAAGTTTTAACTACAATATTTAAAGACATAAATGAAACCTCGGAAGAAATAAAATCAACAAAAATCAGGAGTTGGAGAAGATAGGAAAGCTGATGCAAATGGCAATAAATTTCTCATTTTTATAGTAAGGAGTCAATATATTTTTTCTGAATTAAGAAACAGATATAAGGATATTTTTTACAAAGTAGAAGGTAAAGGCTTTGGAGGAATGGGACTAGGAGTTTGGAGATGAAAGAAAAGAAATGGCAATATTCCATTTTATATTCTTCTGCACTATTTGAAGTTTTATCATTTGCATGCATTTTCTCTTATGAATTAAAAAATTTAAATTAAATTGCCTGTAAAAACTAGATTTCAATCATTTTTTAATATTTTAAAATTTTGAGAGAGAAGTCTGCAGTCCCTAAAGGCGACTTGAGGTGGCAACCCTGAGACCATTTGTATCCTACCTTACTTCATTAGTTACACCAACTTCACTAACAAATTTTTTTTAATCTTTCTATTGTTAAAATATAGAAAACAACTTAAAAGAAATGAATTGTCATTGACTAACACCCTATAATCACTAACACCCTATAATCACCATCACCATCCCCCCCATGAAAGGAACCTTCTCAGATACTCCATAAGCCCCAAAACAATCCCAGTCCCCTCCCAAGAAAAAATAACCACTCTCCCACATTTATAGTAATCATGCACTTACGTTTTCTTTGTAGTTTTATCACCCAAAGATGCATCCCTAAACACTACAGCTTAGCTTCATCTTTAAAAACAAAAACAAAAACTGAAACAAAGCCCCATCTGTATCTATATCTGTATCTATATCTATATATCTTTTTAGTCTCTTTTAATCTATAGGTTTTCCTATACCTTTTTCCTCCTTTGCAACTTATTTGTTGAAGACACCAGATTATTGTTCTAGAATTTCCCTTAGTCTGGGTTTTCCTCTGTTCTCTATATTTCCTGCAGATTGGCAGTTGGACTTAGGCTTAATCAGATTCAGATTTGAAGTTTGGGGAAAAGTAGTCAAAGATGGTGTTGTTCTCTTCACCAAGAGGCACAGAGTACCTGGTTTTCTCTCCTTTTGTGTTGTTAGCAGGCACTAATATTCTTTAACTTACATTAATTCTGACCTGAATGGGAAGGACTGTGGATTTTCTTATACCATATACATTTTTATATCTGAGGAAGGTTCTTCGAGAGTGTATGTCCGAGATATGATTCCATATCACCCTACTTTCATTTTGGGGTTTTTTTGGATGTAATTTCAAACTTGTAGGAAAGTTGTCAGAAGAGTACAAAGAAATTTTTAAAACTCTTCACTCAAATTCCCCAAATGTTAATATTTTACCATACTTGCTTCATTGTTCTCTCTCTCTCTCTAAATAAATATGTATATACACACATTACTTTTTTTCTGAATCATTTCATAGTCAGTTACACATGATGCCCTTCGATTTCTAAATAACTTAGTGTATATTTCCCCCCAAAGAAGGACATCCTCCTTCACAACCACAATACAAGTAATAAAATCAGGAAATTAACATTGATACTATTTCCTCTTTTAAAAAATTTTTATCGAAGTATAGTTGATTTACAATGTTGTGTTTAATTTCTGCTGTACAGCAAAGTGACTCAGTTATACATATATATATTCTTTTTCATATTCTTTTCCATTACAGTTTATCACAGGATATTGAATATAGTTCCCTGTGCTATACAGTAGGATCTTGTTGTTTATCCATCCTATATATATAAAAAAATAGTTTGCATCTGCTAATCCCCAACTCCCAATCCTTCCCTCCCTCCCCCTCCCTCTCCCTTGGCAACCACAAGCGTGTTCTCTATATCTATGAGTCTGTTTTTGTTTTGTAGCTAGGTTCATTTGTGTCGTATTTTAGACTCCACATATAAGTGTTATCACTTGCTGTTTGTCTTTCTCTATCTGACTGACTTTGCTTAGTATGATAATCTCTAGGTCCATCCATGTTGCTGCAAATGGCAATATTTCATTCTTTTTATGGCTGAGTAATATTCCATTGTACCTATATACCACATCTTCTTTATCCATTCATCTGTCGATGGACATTTATGTTGCTTCCATGTCTTGGCTATTGTGAATAGTGCTGCTATGAACATTGGGGTGCATGCATCTTTTTGAATTACACGTTTTTGAATATATTCTCTGGATATATGCCCAGGAGTGGTATTGCTGGATCATATGACAATTCTGTATTTTTAGTTTTTTGAGGAAACTCCATACTGTTCTCCATAGTGGCTGCCCCAATTTACATTCCCACCAGCAGTGTACACTCTCCAGCATTTATTTGAAGA